GTGTGAAAAGCTGTTTTGGTAATTATTGTTCAAAAATTCAAGATGCAGGGTTGGGTCATTGTAAAAATCTGCAGTAACACCACTTTACACAATTAGGAAGACATCTGGGCCACAATCAAACATTGTAATTTTACCATTAATCTTTAAACTAAATGTACTGAAGCATGGATAAGGCAGTGCTGAGAGAAGAACATTTTCAGGCTAACAGCTCACAAATTACAGGCTTAATAAAAAAAGCTCTTGAAATAGTAGCTACTGGTATCTTTGACATCTTTAGCATACATGGCTCTACTGGTATGTAATTCCTCTATATTTTCAAAATTGAAGAAACGTCTGGAAATGTTGGGTCTGTGACATTCTCATTTTCTTGAGCTGATAACATTTACAACCTTTGCTCTTTCAGAGACATACTGCGCTTATTTTATAAGTAACAGAGACTTACAAATACAGAGACAAACCTCTACTTTCCAGGGCACTACAAAGATCTCACTACAAAACAAGAACACATGGTAGATACTGCCAACATTGTACTACATACTTCCGCGGTAGCTATATCCTCAAAGCCTTGGCCTTGTAAGTAATATTTTCTGGCTTTATTCAAGGCTTTATACCCACAAAACTGTTCTTAATCTTCCTGGATTTGAGGTCTAACATCATAATGGTATCATCTGGAAAAATATAGTGTACTTCGCACAAGGATGAGCTGGAAGCGCACCCTCTTAAATTATAACTGTTTTCGCTGGGAGTCGCCTGTATTGTAGAAGCTGATATGCTGCAAATATAGTAATTAGAGCTGCAGTATGACCTGCTCGGGTCTCAGATAACCTGATGACATCTTTGACATGCCACTGGAGTCATTATTTATAAAGAGGTTACAGAACATCCACCTTGACACTGAGAGAAACATGTTAGAAAATGTTTTATGTATTAACAATAACCTCAAGTATCTATGCATTGACGTATCTAATAATAGATATCTTTAAACTTATCTCATCTTTAAACAACACTTATCTTTAAACAACTTTTCTAGTCATACGCATGCAGTATGTTTACGGTAATGAAAAACGTCTTGGCTCTGTAATGTCAAATTAAACATGGTTTTCCCAAGATGCACCGTTCATAATGGGCTCTTCTTCTTGTAAGTATGTTTACAATGCACTGGCTTCAATATTACTTTGATTCTTAACTCTCAAGGGTTTCTGTGAGAAAAGGGGCAGAAATGTCAGTTGGCAATTACTGTCAAATGTATTTCTCTGCTCATTTCTTCTTCCTCTCCTAATTTTCCAAATTCGTTTCTCATTTGACGGGTGTCAACAGAATTAGAGGCCTCATTTGCATGTGTTGTGTCAGTCCGCAGGTCTCCTTATCCCAGCGTTAGAACCTCTTAAATGCCCATTTCTTAACTATTTCTTGAATTTACAGGATGGGGTCTTGAAGAAGCGCTGCTGCTTCATTGGGATGGAGGAAATCAAATCAACAGCTTATGGAGCTCATAAAGGTGGGTCTTTGAAATAGCGGAGATAAATTGAAAACGTCACATATCAACTGAGGGAAAGTCACAGGCAATTTGCTGTCGATTTAGGAATTTGTACACAAGCTGTTGTATCTTCTGGCTCTGGACTGGTACGCCAAGAATAATCTCATAACCTAAAATGCTTTTTTTTATTTTATTTTTTTTTATAATTATTTATAGAATGTATATATATATATATATATATATATATCTTACAAACTGGCCAGACAACAAACAAACAACAGAACAGCACACACTGAGGATACCCTAAGTCTCCTGGATCTAATCCTGTGGGAGAATCATGGAGGCAGATATCCTTGTGGACTGCCATAAACACAGGGGAGACAGAATGTGGCAGGAAATAATTGATGCTTCACCCCAAGCAGCCATCATGCCAGTCTATGATATGAGCCAAGTCACAGTGTGCCAGCTCCCACAATCCAACCACAGGCTTAAGGTTAACCGCCAAGCTGTTGAATGAAACAGAGCCATGGCATGGACGGCTGACTGCCAGAGCCTCTGTGACCTGAGGAATCCTCAATGGAATAAAGAAGTGCTAATTTTTTATCTGATTTCGAAATGAACTGGATCAGGACTGATGCCACACTGCAAAAATCTTATTAGGATAGCTCTGATTGTGAGAGAAGCAGAATTTTTTTAATCTAGCTTAACAGAAAACAGATTTTTAGCATCATCTTGTCTGCATGCATGCTAATACTGCTGGAGTTGTACCACCAAAATTGAAATTGATATTTGTATGAAGATCTATGGTTGGCGTTCAAGTAAAACCCCTTTTTTTCTTCAGAAAACAGTGAAATTGATCTTACTGAAATGATAAAAAAAAATGATGGCAAGGATTCAAATAAAACCTTTGTTTTATGGTACATACAACCTTGCTGAACACAAAAGCAGTTACCAACACTGTTCACACAAGGGTTTTGTTGATGCGGTAACACCCACAAACAGATGCTCACACACCTGAACACAAACAACGCTAAAATACAGTGTTTACAGAGTGCTTCACAGAACAGCGGACCGAGGGACTGTATGGCATTGCAGGAGAGAGCTAATCACAGAACTGCAGCTGGCCCGAGGGAGAACTCACTATCAGATCTGAAACAGAAGCCTTCAGTACTGCCCAGTGGACACTTCACCACACACAGAAGCATCTGTGCAAACAAAGACAGGTAAATACACACTCGCCGTCTCAGGCTCTCTTCAAATTGAGCTCAACAGCAGGTTTCCGGAAGTCTGAAGAGATTCCGAAGCGGAGCCCCTGCTACCATGTAACCGAGAACCACACAAGAAGAGCTCAGCAGAGACCTGACTATTGTAATTTAGACTTATAATTAATGACTAAACATTAATAACTTTACACTGTACCATATTTTTTATTCAGTTACATCATTCCCAAAGCTTCATGGGTTGTGTCCATAAAAGACATTCATAGTACTACAGACAGACAGACAGACAGACAGACAGACAGACAGACAGATAGATAGATAGATAGATAGATAGATAGATAGATAGATAGATAGATAGATAGATAGATAGATAGATAGATAGATAGATAGATAGATAGATAGATAGATAGATAGATAGATAGATAGATAGATAGATAGATAGATAGATAGATAGATAGATAGATAGATAGATAGATAGATAGATAGATAGATAGATAGATAGATAGATAGATAGATAGATAGATAGATAGATAGATAGATAGATAGATAGATAGATAGATAGATAGATAGATAGATAGATAGATAGATAGATAGATAGATAGATAGATAGATAGATAGATAGATAGATAGATAGATAGATAGATAGATAGATAGATAGATAGATAGATAGATAGATAGATAGATAGATAGATAGATAGATAGATAGATAGATAGATAGATAGATAGATAGATAGATAGATAGATAGATAGATAGATAGATAGATAGATAGATAGATAGATAGATAGATAGATAGATAGATAGATAGATAGATAGATAGATAGATAGATAGATAGATAGATAGATAGATAGATAGATAGATAGATAGATAGATAGATAGATAGATAGATAGATAGATAGATAGATAGATAGATAGATAGATAGATAGATAGATAGATAGATAGATAGATAGATAGATAGATAGATAGATAGATAGATAGATAGATAGATAGATAGATAGATAGATAGATAGATAGATAGATAGATAGATAGATAGATAGATAGATAGATAGATAGATAGATAGATAGATAGATAGATAGATAGATAGATAGATAGATAGATAGATAGATAGATAGATAGATAGATAGATAGATAGATAGATAGATAGATAGATAGATAGATAGATAGATAGATAGATAGATAGATAGATAGATAGATAGATAGATAGATAGATAGATAGATAGATAGATAGATAGATAGATAGATAGATAGATAGATAGATAGATAGATAGATAGATAGATAGATAGATAGATAGATAGATAGATAGATAGATAGATAGATAGATAGATAGATAGATAGATAGATAGATAGATAGATAGATAGATAGATAGATAGATAGATAGATAGATAGATAGATAGATAGATAGATAGATAGATAGATAGATAGATAGATAGATAGATAGATAGATAGATAGATAGATAGATAGATAGATAGATAGATAGATAGATAGATAGATAGATAGATAGATAGATAGATAGATAGATAGATAGATAGATAGATAGATAGATAGATAGATAGATAGATAGATAGATAGATAGATAGATAGATAGATAGATAGATAGATAGATAGATAGATAGATAGATAGATAGATAGATAGATAGATAGATAGATAGATAGATAGATAGATAGATAGATAGATAGATAGATAGATAGATAGATAGATAGATAGATAGATAGATAGATAGATAGATAGATAGATAGATAGATAGATAGATAGATAGATAGATAGATAGATAGATAGATAGATAGATAGATAGATAGATAGATAGATAGATAGATAGATAGATAGATAGATAGATAGATAGATAGATAGATAGATAGATAGATAGATAGATAGATAGATAGATAGATAGATAGATAGATAGACAGACAGACACAGATATGCTGAAAATCACCAGGACTAGCTTGTCACAGTAATGAAAAATTGAACACTGAAAGACGTGTAAAACAGAAGGACTGAAATGAGAAGAGGTGACAAGAAAAGACATTTCGTTTTGAGTGACACAAGCCTCTTGAGAACAGACACGGTCAACGCTCACTGATTCCCACTGATTTATCCAATGAACAGAAAGAGATTATAAACGAGCAGCAATAATGGGTTTATAAATGAGGTCTCGCCCACCTTGTTCATGCATGTGGCATGAATCACACATTTGAAAAACAGCACAACTTTGACAAAAATAGCAAAGATGCCGGTGCCTAAACAGGGAGTGTTCTTTTCTAAAAGGGTCGATGAAGACGACCTAGATTTGACTAAATTAGGCAAAAAAAAAAAAAAGTGTATCTTTATAAAAATTATCTGCATATAGTTGAAAAGAACTCAAAGGGTAAACTTTTACAGAGGGTGAATCTTAGGTAACAAAAATTGATCGAGTCATACAAAAATAGCACTGCGCACGTTGTGGGTGGAGCCTAAAGGCTTTTCCCTCTAAACATTTTTTTTTTTTTATCTGTGCTGTCCAAGAAAAGCAGAGATCAAATCTCACAGGAGGTCTGGTCTTGCCAAAGAGGCGATAATGTTTAAAGAGCTTTTAATTCTGCTCCATCCCATACCCATGGGAAATACCCTCCAAACCCAGTGCAGAAAAATCGCTCTCTGCTACAGTGTGCTTTCCTACTTCAATTCTCAAAGTTCTCAGCTCCTATGTCAGATGAGCGTCTCATGTAATATAGAAGCTGGCAAGGAATCTTCCCCATCTGTGGTGCTAAGTGATCTATGAATCCGAATTTCCTGCTCTGCCTCTGATTGCTGACAAGAGGTTATACACACAGCGCTGTGACCTTATTAAGAAGAGACGTGAAATTAAAGATGACATGAACAATATGAAGCTTTAAGAAACAGAAGATATTGATAGTTTAGAAAAACTCTAGAAATCACGCCATGTAAACGTCATGCATCTCCCAGGACCTTAAAAGGATATTTCAACCAAAAATGAACATTCTATCAACATTAATTCACCCTCATTTTGTTCCAAATCTGTATGACTTTCTGTGGAACACAAAAGATGATATTGTGAAGAACTGTTTTGGTCCACACAATGAAAGTTAATGGGATTCACTGTTGTTTTGGACTCCACTGACTTTCACTGTATGGACAAAAACAGTTCTTAAAATATCTTCGACAAAAGAAGTCATACAGGTTTGGAATGATATGAGGGTGAGTAAATGATGACAGAATGTTCATTTTTGAGTGAACTATCCCTTTAAGGCACACTGACAGAAAAAAAGTGCAAAGATTGTATAGCTTTGTACCTTATCAACCCCTAAAGGCTCAATATTAATAGCTTAAATGACTAATAGGCACCCTTTAGATTAAGGTACAAATGTTCAGATATGTTCTGATTGGCTGTGATTGTGTCAAACAGCAGTTTTGCATTCAGTCTGGAGAGAAAAAAATTGAATGCTTTTGGAAACTTGTCGCATCTGGTATGGACACAATGTATATGGAGTGGCTGCTAAAATTTCAGCTTTGCCATCACAGGAATAAATGACATTATACAATATAGAATATATTAAAATACAAAACTGTTCTTTTAAATTGTAATAATATGTCACAAGCACAAACTGATTTTAATGCATTTTTGATCAAACGAATGCAGACTTAGTGAACATAAAAGATTCAGAAACAGCTTCATATTCAGAAAACTTAAAGCAGTGCTTTGGGAATATGAAGTGTGCAGCCATAATAGATCATCATCGTAAAGCTAGTATAATCTTAAAAACCTGCCTGTACCTCCAGCCAAAAAACAATTGCTCTCAAGACTCTGCAGGCCAACAATTCTCAGATACCTGAGGCCCTTCCAGGCCCTTTGGAATAAGTGATGTGGTCACTTGATATGTGATGCAAGAGGTGCCAAAAGTCTGGGAGCTGATCTCGGACATCTCCTGACAGCCCAAGGGAACATGGCAGAAACTTAGGAGGGCCACTCGCCACTGATGACCCAATAAATAATGGGGGCGTACATGTCTTTGTCAGTGGCACACTAATCTATAGTCTTTTAATTCATTTCTTGTGAAACAGTTGATGGGCAAAGAAAAGCCTATCATGCACACGGCATAAACAGATGGCAACGTAACTGTTTTTAGAGACCTAACTTGCTGTCTATTTCCTGAAACCTCATTAGCTGATCAGCAACCTTGTTAAAAGCCACTGTTCTGCACAAGAGAGCCATTAAATGCTCACAGATGATTGTAGCTAGCTGACATGTAGCTAGCAAAACAAATATGTTAATAATGAGCACAAGACGACAAAATACATAGATTTCATGTGCAATGCATCATAATGACCTTGTATCCACACTTTGCAAATATTAAAGGAACACGCCACTATTTTTGAAAATAGGCTCATTTTCCAACTCCCCTAGAGTTAAACAGTTGAGTTTTAC